ATTCAGACAGATAGCGTTCAATATAACTTCGTTAAAGTCTAACAAGCTCCCGAGGCAACAAATGTGAATAGAGATACCGTGCTATTCGATAGCGGATGTAGATCCAATATCTTCAACGATGTGAAATGGTTTACAGAGTTACAGCCACTCCCACGATCAATCAATCACCAAGTCGGTAACGGCCAGATAACTAAATCATATCATATGGGTGTCGTGGAACTGAGTCTCCTCACTATATTAGGCAAACAGATTACGGTCGAGATCAGAGATGCGATTTTATCCCCATCAACACCAGTCAACCTTCTCACGACAACTGGGTTACTGGATGGTGGAATGGTTTGGTCTATGGAGACGAACAAGATCAAATTCAATAAGGGAAAATACATAGGAGAAGAGATACAATGCAACTGGATAACCAACCTTCCAATCTTACCGACAATGGCACCGAGAGATATCGACGAGAGATATCAGGCCCAAGCACCAAGGCTTGCCTTATTAGCGTCTATCAACTACGATACGATGCATAAACGACTAATGCATACAGGAAAAGAACAAGTCATAAAGGCTTGCCGTGACGCGGGTATTACCCTGTCAAATATCGGAAAAACGAATTGTGATGCGTGCCTTCGAAGTAAGGGAACCGACATTGTCTACAAGGTGTCAAATCCAGTTGCGACGAGACCACTTGAGTTCGTAAGGATCGATACGTGGAGCCACAACGTTGCAGGTCACATGGGGATTAGGCACGTTGTGCACTTTGTCTGCATGGTATCCGGTTTTCACTGGGTAAAGATGATAAGATAGAAGAGCGAGGGGTTAATAGCCATTAAGGAATGGAAGAGATGGGTTGAACTCCAGACCGGCCTGAAGGTAAAGGTTCTGGGGATGGATGGAGGCACAGAGTTTGGCTTTGGTACGAAGGAGTTCCAGAACAGTGAAATCGTGGCTTGGGGACGACAAGAAGGGGTTGAAGTCATGAAGACACCAGCACACACCCCGTGGATGAACGGCGCACTAGAAAGAGCAGGAAGAGCGATGATGGAAAAATCAAGAGCGACAATAATCGAGCACGACATCCCTATCGTACTATGGCCTTTGGTCGTCGATGCGGTAGTCAAGGTCATGAACATACTTCCAACAAAATCCAATAAAGAGTACATCAGTCCTCATGAAGTTCTTAGCAGAGCAGTAGGCATCCCGAATCCGAAGCCCAATATCCATCATTTCCAAACGTATTATTGCACGGCATATTACCATATCAAGAAAGAAAGAAGGGTACAAGGCGACAAATGGGCGGAGCATTCGAGACGAGGCCACTTCGTTGGTTATGCAGACTTGAATGGGAGGATCTTCTACATCTGGGACCCAGAATATCAACAACTGGTTAAAGCGAGTGCCGTAAGGTTCCTTGAAGATTCATCTAGTCAGTCAGACGAGGAGAGGGCTGTCAAACATAGTGTATTCTTCTCAGACCAGTCGATGGAGGAGGTGGATAAGGTTCTGCAAAGCAAAAAGGAAGTCTAGATTACAGCAAAACGTCCCAAACCCGAGGAGCTGATAAATGGACCAAGTGTTACAGCTGAGCCACATTGGGGGGTGACATAGAGGAGTCAGGGAAAAGAGAAAGAAGTTACCATAACGGATCAATAACAGGAGGAACCCACGATTGATTCAATCTTAGGCCTTAAACCGACAAAACATATCTCAACACTTCCAACACTATCACTAAGTGTAACGCCAGCGCCAGAATTAGCTCAACAACCACCTCCAACAATAACAACACTACCTACGATACAAGAAGAACCCAAATCACCATCCCCGGCCCCATCGAAAACATCAACAGAAACAACTTCCTCCGAGGAGTCAACCCCGTCACCAGGCCCGACTCAACAACCTCTAGGTCCGGACCGAACCCCTCTAGGTTCGCGGGCTTCAACTCTAGGCCCGACATCAATTCCTCTTGGATCGTCGAGACAAATCCAGGGTCCGAGGGAACAATAGAGCGTTCCGAGGTTGGAACTACAAGAACCCGGAACACAACCCCGAGTGTCCTGGAAAGCAACCCCGCAGTATGCGAACCAAGATGTGATGACCTCAATTGAGCAAGACCAAGAGGATGACTTCCAATATCTTTCAATGACAATGACGAATTTGAGCCATTCAATAACTTACCCTATATTAACCCTCATGATCTTGACGAAGAAGACCCTATCCCACTGAGGCGAAACCAGATCAGATCAGCATCCTCATTCCCAAATCCACTCCAAAATACTCCGTCAAAACCACCAAGAACCACGGAACAACTGAAAGTAACAACGGACCGAGAATCAGCATCCACGGAGCTAGGACAAGCGACAACGGAGTCGGAGAAGGCGTTGCCGGAGTCGGAGGGGGCGCTGTCAGCAGAGAAAGAACCGACAACGGACTAATCTACCGCATCCGCGGGGGCGGAGGTGACAAGAACGGGGAGACCGAGACGCCAGGCGGCACCGCAACCGGGTACGCTAACCGAAAAGCAAATCGTCGTCGACAGCAACAACAAACCCACTGGTGAACTCCCTATCTTTTACCATGGTCTTCCAGAGAGGGGAGTGATTTTTGACAAAGTGGAGACCCTGTGTTTGACGGCGGTTAAGGTGATGCATGATCTTGAGACTCATTCATCCTCCATTCCAAAGAACTACCGCCAAGCGAAGAAACGCGAAAACTTCGAGATATATTGGAAGCCGGCTATAGAGAAGCAGTTGGCAGCATTGGAGGAGAGGGGTGTTTATGATCTGGTTCCTTTTGAACCAGGCATAGAAGTCCTCCCTGGGAAATGGGTTTATAATGAGAAAGAAAACCTGGACTTGAAGACAGTGGACCCAAGGGCACGATGGGTGGCTTGTGGCAACTTTGAGCAAGGCTCATAGGATATTGAAGATGTCTACGCGGCTGTGGCAAACGCAGCGAGCGTAAAGATCTTCCTTGCACTTATGGCAGTCCTGGACCTCGAGTGCCATCAGTTTGACTTCAATACGGCGTTTTTAAACGCCCTTATACCTGTAGAAAAGCGGTATTACGTGGAGCAACCGACTGGCTTGGAAAAAGGACCAAGGGGTGTAAATCGCTTGGTTTGCCTACTGAGAAGAGCTTTGTATGGATTGAAAGCTAGTCCTCTTTACTGGTTTAATACCTTATTGCCCATCTTGAGAGGATTGGGCTTTGAACCAGTGAGCTCGGATACTTGCCTGTTCAGCAATAGGGAAAAGGGAGCACTTCTGATATTATATGTGGACGACTTTCTAATTGCGGCACTATTAATAACAGCAATCTTCGAAATCAGGGACCAGCTCCTTCAAGACTTTAAACTCAAGCATATGGGCGAAGTGAAGACCTTCCTAGGATTCGATATTGTTAGAAATCGGCCAGAACGAACTGTCTTTGTCCCTCAAGCCAGATACACCAGAGCGTTGATTACGAAGTTCGAATACGACGACTTGTATGGAGTCAACACCCCATGGCCTCAAGACGTTAAGGTTGGCGACTACAAGACGGGTGATGAGCTGCCAGACCAATAGAAGTCCTATATCAAGAAGACGGGCAGCTTGAACTATCTTTCGATGGGTACCCGTCCCGACATTACGTTTACCGTTAATAAGTTATGCGAGGCCAATGCGAAGCCGACAGCGGGTTCGCTGATAGTGATGAAGCACCTGTTTCGGTACTGATTAAAAATACCGATGTGGGAATCGTACTGGGAGGAAAGTTGTCACCATCAAATATGGACATGAAGCCATTCGGGGATGCTTCCTATGCTGATGACCCCATGACTCGTCACAGCACTGGCGGGCATATCGTATTCATTGCCGGCGGCCCAGTCTACTGGAAGTCAAAGAAGCAGGCATTTGTCACGACGAGCACGACGGAGGCAGAGTTTACCAACCTTGTTCCAACAGCCAAGTCACTTCAGTGGATCGCACATATGATGGAGGAACTGGGATACGGCCAACCGCCTTTGAAAATCCTTTACACGGACAGCAAGAACGCCAGGGACCGGGTGTTGAATCGAAACAATGCTGGTCGTAACCGATGTATAGATGTACGGTTCAAATGGATCATGGAACAGGTGGAAGCAAAAGAGTTCGACATTATACATATCAAGGGCGAAGATATGATTGCGGATAGACTAACGAAACCACTGAAAGCGGACAAGCACGCAAGATTCGTAAGATTGCTGGGATTGGAGGAGAAGGAGATTCCATGGATGAAGGCTCGAAAGAAGGTTATAACCATGGGTTGATCTCAACACCATGGGCGTCTGTTTGTTTACATGATGATGGACCCCTGAGAGCTGTTTCGGGCTACGGGGGCGTGTTGTGGTGGGGTCTGTCCCACCTCTGCCATTCACTGGCCTTGTTATGTGGGTCCATGAGCTCACACCACCATTGTATTTAGCCCTTCACATTTCTTTTCCTTTCTTGTCTCCTTAGCTTAACACAATCAACACACTTCTTGTGCCCACGAGTCCAAGATTGTGCTTAACCGCAGTCCTTAACGCACTACGTCTCGATTTTGAGACGTAGTACGTTAAGAACTACGGTTAAGAATTTCAAAGATTCTAGCCCTCTAATTGGTCAGATCGAGGATTTGGGGTAGGTGCAGGTGGTTGCAGGTGGTTGCAGGGTGTGCATGAAAAATAAGGTTTTTGAGCCGAACACGAAAAATCGCAGTAGTGCGTTAGTACGTCCTACATACAAAATCTTAACCTGGGGACGTACTAACGTGCAAACGAACTGGCCTTAAGTGTCTAGAATGCATTCGCAAGACAATCTAGTTGTTGTATCCCACGTCCAACGCATGACCAGATTTGACTTATCGCTTTGCTTGCCATGTCTCCAGCACCTATAACTCGAACTTAACCTAGGGACAAGTTTAACCTTTTCAGGAGCGTTAGTACAATAAAGTAATCAAAAGGAAAACAGACAAATGGAAAAAAGTCAAAAAGAAGTTTTAACAGATGATCCGACTGAGGCTCGATCTCAGGACCTTCAGTGTGTTAGACTGACGTGATAACCAACTACACCATCGGACCAGTTAATTGTTGTTATGTTGGTTTTTCCGATTTAGTACTTATATAGCCACATCGCAAAAGCACATCCAAATGCTTTACAATCGGACACACTCAGCAGCAACCAACTTAAGCACCAGCTAACTTCGACTTTGTTTAGTTTGTCCCGTTCATTACACTTTTGGTAAGAATGCCATTAAGTGTCTACCCAGAGGCGGCCAAGGCATATCCCTGTTCCTCGAACTACGGATCTCGAGGTCTTTGGATGAAAGGAGAGAAAGGATGTTCGAAGACACTACTCCAGCCATGGGTGATTATGCATCTCCAAAGAGTTCTTGTTTGATGGTAAGGACAGTGATAAGTACCAGGTCATTCCTTTCAGTTTGAGTCTCTGCACTTGCATATCTCGGCATCATGTGTTATTGTTAAAGAACGGACACAGCATGCAGAGGAGGTGGGCAATGGGGGAGACGATCAGAGTCTACTAAATAAACAGGAAGGAAGGTTTCGTTGAAGCCATCCCAATCCGTAGTTGATATAAGTATGATGGCAATTCCGCATTTCGGAGACGCAGCAGCTGACGAGCGGTTATTATTTCGTGTTTTACGTGGAAGTGTCGTGGCTGATTGAGTTATCGGTGCCCATCTGTAGGCCGAGAGGAAGATGAAAAAGAAAGCTGGATGGCAAGGGGACTCCTTGTTGACCTTAGGAAGCCTAGAGTGAAGTTCTGTATCTTCGACCTAGCCTGTCCTCGGGGAAATCCAGTCTTCGCGTTGCTCTCTGTTCGGGTCAGTCGGTCAGCCAAGGGCTCGCTCTCAGCAACCACAAGTCAGATGTGCAAAGTCCAATCCCCGGCCATTTGTTTCCCTGGTTTTATCGCAGGATTAATGCATCCATTTATGTGTTTCATCATGTTTAGCATAATAATGGCAGATTGGGAGCCTTCTGACGCGTGACATCCCCTTCCATCGTACCTACATACTCAGTGTACCATAGCTAGCGTCTTGGACACATGGCAGCTACGTTTCATCTAACAAGCGGAGCCGGTGCATAATGAGGATCGTTGTAAGCTACGCTGGGCAGGTGCGATGGGGTGTACGCAAAAGAGAAACCTAGAAAGGGACGGTTGTACAGATCTACAACGTAGACATCAAACGAAGTCTTAAAAGAGACAAGAATAGGTATGAACTGGTTGCAGAATCTGGGAGACCGTAAATAGTATCGGTGCGAAACACAGCTAAAGCGTGTTTACCACCCGATATACATAATGCTTGTCGAACTTTGGAATTACTTCCGAGCAACAGTCGAAGCAGAAGTCCCTGGGATTAGGTCCGGTCTACAGCAGTATCGATCTTGTCGACTTTCATCCTAGTTACCACAGCTTGAGTCAGGTATCTACATGTGAGCTTAGAAACAACCCGGGTCGAGTTAGGCAGCTACTTCAGGTCATAGAAAGAAGTGTTTGACCTTCAGGACATGGGTGTTTACATGAATCATACATACTCGAGCAAACCTTAATAATCACACCATCATGGAGGAAGCAGACGCGGCTGGAACCAAGGGTAATTTTCAGGATAGACAACAGTATGGTAGGATGATGCCAGAAGCGAGAGGGTATGTGCGTGGTAACTCGTTCTTGATTCGCTGTTGCCGCGCCATGAACGTACGTCCAAGCCGGAAACTCTGAGCATTTACGCTCAGCATAGTCACTAATGACCGAACCAGGGAATGCCATCCCTCTCCAAGGCATACATAGATCATCCACGAGCCCAACACCCGGGCAAAATTTGTTCTACCCCATGTCATAGGAAGCATATCAGTGGAACCGCCCTGCTTCCCTCTAAAGCCGTAAACCCCTTGAGAAGAAAATGAACCGTCATGAGGCCCAAAAAGAGAATCGAATCGCCAATCTCCAGTTCTTCAGGCCCTGCAAGCACGACGTGAGAATTGCGTGTTGCCCAGTTTCAGTAACACCGCTTCCAAATATCCAAACCAAGAGAAAAAGTTAAATGACAAAAAATCCGAACTTGAGATACAAAGAAATTTGGGGAAGCGCCCTCCCAAAGCGACCAGGGGATATCGTTAGCAAAAGCAAATAATAAATGAGAAAGAGAAAACGAGATTCCGCGTATATAGTCATTACTTAATCTTGAGTCGCATGTTCATCGCCAAATGGACTCCTTTCCCGGTCTTTAGAGCCAGGAGAACCAGAGGTCCGATCTGAGGCTCTCCTCGTTGACTGCTCAGTTACTGCACTCAACGTTGCTGTGCTGTGGGTTGATGATCGGTCTACCGGGGGATCCGAGAAAGGCCCTTGATCTACGGCAGGCGAGTCAATGATTATGGTCCCCATGTTGGAGTCTCGTCCTGCGGATGAGGCAGTGCTGGGCCAAGTTGCCGATGAATCAGCCGTCTTGGGCTTGACAGTGTTCACCTTCTTGACACTCCCTACGCGAACGACCATGGCGCGAGCAGGCGTGGCGGTGTTCAAGAAGGTGGATCCCACGCTGAACGTGCTATTTCTGCTATTCGTAGGACTCGGGGGGCGGAACCCGGTGTACTTTTCGTAATTCACGCTCGGCACAGGTGGTGTTGCGCTGCCCCCGGAATTGTTTGAAGAAGCCGACTTAACACTGACCATAGCTGGCCTCGCCCGCATGCCCGTTTGGGCAGGTGTGATAACAACATTTTTGCCGTAAATGGTAGACGCCACGCTAGACCGCGGCGCATATGACGTCCGGGCGTAGGAGGTTCGGTCGGTGAAAGCTGATATGCCGGAATACGTAGAGTCGCGCAGATCGCCGGGAACGAAGAAATGCTGGTCTCCGGCAGCAGAGGGACTGCCGCCATGGCCGATGGGAATCGGAGGTACGGGGGGAACAAGGACTCCCGGGGATGTTGGGGTTCGGTTCGTGACTCCAGGGATATAGGCTATTTGGATGATGTTGGATGCTCGCGTGAAAACGGTGGATGCTACCGAGCCGACAGTATGTGTTGACGACCGATTATCACGCCGCTGGGCAAAAGACTTCTCGGGGCCGTCGTCTTGAGCCTGCGCCCCATCCCACTCCTCTGGTGCAATGGTTTGCCTCCTCGACTTGATACAGTATCTCCAAACCAAATATGTGAGAATTGCAATCACAGCTACACCACCGACAACACCACCTGCAATGGCACCGACATTTGTGGAACTGCCTGCTGGCTCCGAATCATCTGAAGGCAAATAGGGATTTGCATCCGTATCTTCTTCAACAGGAAGACAAACCATGTGTCCACACTCCTTGCAACTCGGGAGGATGGTCGTGCACGCAGTACCCTCTGGACAAGACGGGCAGGAAAGTGGCACACTTTCGTCGCACAGAACACAAGTCCCGTCGCGTTTGAAGAGGTTGCTCACCACTGTCGGTATCGGTTAGATCATATTTCCTCGACCAACCCCTATAGCGGAAGACATACCATTGTGAGACATCGCGACGACCGCCATTTCGAGCTATCTATGATGCTTGGCCTCGTGTAAAAGAGACGTGGTTCAGTATTTCAACGTGAAAGTAACTGGGTTCTCGGATCGGTGCGTATGTCGATAAGTTAATCGGACATGAACAAATAACCCTCGCAGATCTGCTGATCGGATTGAATAATGGAGCCGTCAGGAATCGAGATGAGAGTCCGGCCGCCAATATTGTATTTGTTGCGGGCGAGGCAGCTGGTTCGTTCCTTTACGCTCGCGGTTTCGACGTGAATGATGACTGATGTCGGAACTGAGGGGAGTATGAGTTGCTTCGCTAGGAGTATTGTCGTCGAGTCGCGATGTGTTCAATGAAGCGAGTCGTCGGAATAGAGGTCGGGAAGTAAGAGGTGGATGGTGAGCGGTGAGTGATGGTGATGGCGGATGAAGAAAACGAGTGACTGGGAGGCTAGCTCGGCAAAAGAATCGAAGATGTCAACAAGAAATCAAGAGGGCATCTCTGATGGGGTCCCTTGAAGAAGTTGAACAACGCGCGGAGCAAAAAGCAGCGAAAATGGAAGAAGTCGTCGGGTCGCAGAAACGTTGACGTGGATTGCGTGCGTGGTCAACGACTGGCGACTGGAAGGGAGCGACGACGTCGAAAATGGTGGTTGCTGGCTGCTGCTGAAGTGTTGTTGCTGCAGTAGTGGCGGAGAACCTGGAAGTTGGGACCCAGGGAGAGGAATTGGCCTTCTTTGAGAGAGTCGAGGGCCCTGGACTGGCGCCAACCAAGCGGCCGCACCAACGCACCTCGGGCTACCACGGCGTGGTTCCACTTCGTCCTCCCGTTCCTGGTGCGTTACCAGTTCCCTCCAATTCTCCACTCTCCACTCACACTTTAATACGTTGTGCCTGTTATTCCTGCACTGTGCATCTCAGTTGCGGAAGGGGCCACTTCGGTAGCAGCACCACTGTAGCTGTAGCTACCGTCGCCCTCGCCGCGTGACGCCGCCACCGAAAAGCAGATGCCTTTGCGCCCGTGGTACTACCTTGACGGCCTCTCGACCACCTGCCTCTTACAGTGCCAGGAATGTGGAAAGAGCGTCCCAAGTCCACTAGCGCGACCTGTTTAGTAATCCCGGTGGGGCCCTTTTTGTTTGGAAGAAACGTTCTGGAGGCGCAGCGCCGCCTCTTATTGGCTGGCTTAGACAAAGCCTGGACTTGCTGCCCACGCGGTTCTTTAGTGCCAAGTCCTCCCGCACGTTCGTCTGCACCATTCTTCCCGTCCCCTCATAAAATCCAGATCAATGGATTGACTTGAAAGTTCTTGCTGCCGTTACCTTCCTTGCCCGCTCCAGCTCATCGACCCGCCCCAAATACCGATTGAGGGGAGCAATCTGAAAGGTAATGCGAATAAGCTCTGGACGGGAAGCATATTGACGACGGGAAGGTCGACGACCTATATGGTATGGACTTCGCAAGATGGGATGGAGCCAATCACCGGCGCCAGCAAAGGGCCTTCCCTGCCTGTGCCTGGCCGTAACTCCATGCTTCGGAAGTTAAGATGGCTCGAAGATGG